TACAAGTTTTCTAAAGCGATCCTATTTATTAATTTTATCTAAATCCTCTTTATTTAAAAATGGCACGCAACAAACTTTATGTCATTTCTCGCTGTTTCTCGCTTCTGACGTCACGAATCCAATATGGCCGCGGTGACTAGGAAAGGCCCTACTTAACAGCCAGCGAGTTAGTTTATCTTTTGAAAGCGGACTTGCTTCTTGAAAGCGGCTACACAAGTCGAGCGAGGACGAGATATTACGGAGGAATTGCAAACCGTGAAAGCGTCAGACGACACAAATAAATAGAGCACAAGCCGGAGGGTACCAATTAGTCGCCAAATAAATTTGCAACGTAAGACACCATGTCGGTCGAAGCATTATCCGGCAAAGTTTTTCTAATTGTAACTGGTGCGAGTCGTGGTCTCGGTCGCCAAATCGCAATAACATTTGGTTCGATGCTGGAGGAAGGCTCGCGCGCGCTTTTATTAGCGAGGAATAAGGGTGCGTTGCAAGAAGTTGCAAAAAGTATACCATCCAAAGTGACAGTTTGTACCATTAGTGCGGACTTAAGTAAATCAACCGATACCAAGTTCAAAGGTAAATCGTAAGTTCTAATTTTCAAAATTGAGCATTTTTTACACACTGCACAGTGCACATAGATGTTGAAAGAAAATTTAATTTTTATAATAATTATAATTTGAATAAGACCGCCAATAATGTACGTGAATAACACAACTAACTTCGAGAGCGCCTTTTCGCGGTCACGGCTGAATCTTATAGATGCCTAAATTCTATATGAATTTTTCTGAAATCTATGTACAGCCGTCCATTAAACCATTAAATCCATTAAAAATTCATTAAACTGCGCGCCGATTAAATGTTCGGACTTGAAATGCAATTGTTAGCTAGCTGAGGCTGGAATAGAAATATCATATTGATCTTTCTAATCAATCGATGCTTAAAGCTGTTTAAAATACTGAAAAAAACTTATTGCGGAAAATATAATTATCTCAGCCAGGATAATTTAATTTTTATGGTATATTCTAAAATTTAATTTTTTTAATTTTTAATTAATTTTTATGGTATATTCTAGAATTGGATTTAATTTTTATGGTATATTTTAGAATTCATATCAGAATCTTTGAGGGGAACTACACTCAGCGCATTTGATCGAGTGGTCCTGGTACATAATATCGGCTCAATCGGCAATATCTCCCAAAATGTAAACGATATAGTGGACTTAAAAGTGTGGAGGGATTACTACGATCTAAACTTCTTCGTACCTGCTGTATTAAACGCGGTGGTCATGAACACGTTTGCTAGTAAAACCATTAAAAAGACGATTATCAATATTACAACCTTGATGGCTATTAAAGCGTACGTTAGATTTGGCCAATACAATTCGGTAAATGCAGCAAGAGAAATGTATTTTAAGGTATATATAGATATATAATATACAGATATACATAGGTATAGAATAATATACATTGAGGGGCAAAAGTATCGTGGAACAGTCAATTATTTCAAAAAGTATTAATTTCACCTTAAAAAATGTATTAAACAAAAATTGTAGGGTTTAGGAATATCTATATTATCAGATGATATTTCTATAAGTTTTGGTTAATCTTGAAAAGCGTGGTTATAAAGATCAACATAAAAATCTATTTTTTATTCCATATTCTTGTAGCTCACGAGAGCTCTTTGCAAAACATTATAATGAAATTATTTTTTATTAAAGTACTTTTCGAGTTATAATATTTGAAAGTTGTAGCATGCGTTCCGTAATCATGCTTTTGCGCTTTAACAGCGTTCACGGAATCATTTTATATACTTGTTGCTTATCAAATGTTAAACAAGAATAAATTATACTCATAGCATATAAGCTGTAAGCGTTAAAACAGAACGTTGGCATTAGCGTTATCTAAGGTGTACCACATGGAAGTTATCCAATCGAATTTACACCTCGTGTGTCGTGTGTATGTGTGTGAATATATCACAGAAAAGACAAGGACTCCATAATTTATTACTCCCGTAACATTTTTTTACTCCAAATGTCAGCGGTATTATAGTTTTCAAATCTTATAACTCGAAAAGTATTTTATGGAAAATAACTTTATCATAATGTTTTGAAAAGCTCGAAGTCAGTATACAAAAATACAATGACAACTATAAGGGTTTCCATTAAAAATTTTAATGTTGACCCTAACTGCACTTTTCAACCAAAGCTCAAATAAAAATCACCAGCTAATAGATTTTCTTAAATTCTATAATTTTTGAAACATTTTCTTACGGAACCAATACTTTCTCAAATAACTGCAAGCCGTTCCGAAACTTTTGCCCCTCACTGTATATATATATATATATATATTTTTAATACATTCTGTTTATATAATCATGAAACAGATGTATTTTTTATGCGTTCTTCTTCATACAGGTCTTTGCTTTGGAAAATCCTGATGTTAACGTATTAAGTTATTCACCGGGACCAATCGACACGGATATGTTCACAACGGTATGCGAAAAAATCGCGGATTTAAAATCTCGGAAAATGTTCAATGAGATGAAAGAGAAGAAATTTCTGTTAACTACAGAACAGGTTGTCAATGGTCTTGTGCAAGTTTTAAACGAACATAAATATAATTCGGCCGATCGTGTGGGTTATTACGAAGAAATGTAAAGCAGGAAGAACGATATTCTGTCATAAGACAAAAAACAGAAACCAAAATATAAAAATCAAACAAATTTATTTTTATACATTTATTGAAAATAATTTTTCTCCATTCTTAAAAACATTTAACTTACGAAATAATATAAAAATAGAATTTTTCTTTCTATTTAATAATTTATATGTTAATACACATAATTTTTCTTTAAACTTCTCTCTTGTTAAATAGAATAACTGACAGGATATTGAATAAAATATATTTTAATAATATTGTTTGGAAAATAACTAACATCTACAGAGAAATATACAATTTTATATATTCTTTTTTAATACTTATCAATTATAAAATTATCATATTCTTACCAACTTTAACATGAATTTCATTTTGAATCTTTTTTTACAAAATATTGCATAATTATAATATTGAAAAACTTTAAAAATGCTTATAAAAAATGTATAAACATATATAAAAGTGTAAACATCTTTTCATTAGATATCGAATCATTATCTTCGTTTATTGATGCTTCTTATAACTCGTCTTTGATTGCGATATCAATATCACAATAGCTATGTACGCAATATGCAGAGTATTGCTAATAAGAGTATCACACTGCACTGGTACAAAAGTGACACGTAATAGGTATAAAAAGAAAAATACAGAGTATCTGCCGCAAATATAATGGTGCCTGATCCAAAGACGTAGTCACTAAAAACCTTCCCTCTGTTTAAATAAGAGTTTTAAAATATATTCTCTGTAAGATAATGTAAATTTCGCATGAAAAATTAGTGACTGTATCTACATATGTTCTAGATTATTTTTTATCTGATACGATCCCAAATTTTTGAGTTTTTTTATAATTATTAGTTATAATCAAAAAAACAAGTTTTACCTGTGTCCTGCTTTGGATAGCACGTATCATCGGTCGAGATCGATATGTCATCAAGTATTCCTATAATCATTAATAAATCAAGGAGTATTGGGAATGTTACTTTATAAAAATAACGTGTTACTATCATTACATTTTTAAAAACTCGTTACCGTTATGTAAAAGAATTGTTTAATTGTGTGATATTGATCGGAAATTGTAGAATTGAATTGTAAGAAGAATTGTAAGATTGAGGACAATCTTTAGTCAGGATTGCCGAAATTGTAAGAGAATTGTTTAATTGTATGATATTGCTTCTTATATATTGATTAGATAAAGATCATTCGTGGTGATTTTGTTTTATAAAAAGTTTCGGTAACCTGCAACGGATTTGGAATGAATTGAGAACTTCGAGCTGGAATAAATACAAATTTTAAAATATACTGATTTTCACTTAGAATAATGTTGTATAATTATTCTATATATTTCAATTAATCTGCTACAATTTACTTGTTATTAATCTAAAATAACGCGTTACTTCTAAAATAACGATTTGTTATTTTTTCTAAATTAAAATAAAATATTAACCTTCAAATGGTACATGAGTGCGAATTCGCACCGCGAAAATTTTCGAATTGCTGGCATTTGCACAGAGACATCAGCCGCGACTTATCCCCACTACGTTAAATATGC